CTCATGCCAAGGTGGGAGGGGAAAACTGACTCCACCACAGACTGTCCTCTCAACTCCACACGTGACTAGGAAACGGGCTCTTCCCTACATCACACACACACACACACACACACACACACACTAATAAACAAGTAGTTAAAATTTGTAGAAAGATGAAAGGGGGGCTGGAGAGATGGCTCAGAGGTTAAGAGCACTGACTGTTCTTCCAGAGGTCCTGAGTTCAATTCCCAGCAACCACATGGTGGCTCACAACCATCGGTAATGAGATCTGGCGCCCTCTTCTTGGCATGTAGGCAGAACACTGTATATGTAATAAATAAATCTTAAAAAAAAAAGATGAAAGGAAAGTGTAACTGTTGTAGATTAAAGGTCATATAGGAGAAACATCAGAGCTGGGTATGGCGGTGGAGCCTGAAAACCCAGCACCCTGGAGATGGAGGCAGGTGGATCAGGAGTGCAAGGTCGTCCTTGGCTACAAAGCCAGACTTGGGTATGTGAGGCCCTAAAACCAAATATTGCTAGCACTAATGATAATTTTAAAAATAAAACAGAGACACTTTTGGCCAGACTTATAGAAATTTTAGTCCCAAAGGGGAAAAACAAACCTTGGCTAATGTTAATAATTATTGAATGTGGGAAAGGTACATGTCAAACGATTACATGTTTTTTTTTAATTTTATGGAATTTTGATTCTCCCGGTACTGGGTCATGAAATAAAGGCCTTCATGCACTCTAGATGAATTAGTTACTATTCTCATTCCCATGGTCAAATACCTGATAAAAAGCAGCTTCAGGGAGAGTGTGTGTTAGCTCACAGTTTAAGGGATGCAGACTAAAAGGTGCTGCCTGAGGAACTCCAGGCTGCAGGTCACACAGCTGTAGTCAGGAAAGGGGTGGGGGAGGAGAGGGAGGAAGAATGCTGGTACCCAGTTCACGCTCTCCTTTTTCCTTTTGTCACCCACATTCAGAGAGGATCCTCCCCCTCAGTGGAAGGGCTCAGGAGCACCCACAGGTGCGTCTGTCTCCTAAGAGAGTCTAAAGCCAGCCCAACGGACAGTGAAGGCCACACGACACTGGGCAAGCGCACTACCGGCGAGCTAGATCCCCAGCCTCTTCTCACTTCTTAGTTTCAGACAGGGTTTCGCTGAGTTGCCAAGGCTGACCTTTGAACTCACTCTGTAGCCCAGGCTGGCCTTGAATTTGCAATCCTCCTGTCTCAACTCCTGAGGCACTGGGATTCCAGGCTTATGACACCAGACATTTTCTACAGTAAAAAATGTTTTAAAGTCAGACGTGGTGGCACACACCTTTAGTCTTAGCACTCAGGAGGCAGAGGCAGACAGATCTCTGAGTTCTAGGCCAGCCTGGTCTACAGAGTGAGTTCCAGGACAACCAGGACTGTTACATAGAGAAACTCTGTTTCAAAGAAAAAAAAAAAAAGCTTTAAAATTGTGACTGGGGGCTGGAGAGATGGCTCAGAGGTTAAGAGCACTGGCTGCTCTTCCAGAGGTCCTGAGTTCAATTCCCAGCAACCACATGGTGGCTCCCAACCATCTGTAACAAGATCTGGTGCCCTCTTCTGGCCTGCAGTCATACATGCTGTATACCTAATAAATAAAAATAAATCTAAAAAAAAAATAAAATAAAATAAAATAAAATTGTGACTGGAGATGATGGCTCAGTGGTTAAGAGCACTAGCTGCTTTTCCAGAGGACCCGAGTTCAATGGTCCATAACCATCTGTAAATCCAGTTACAACATCCTCTTCTGGTTTCTGTGGGCACCAGGAACACACATAGTGCATAAACACACATACAAGTAAATAAACATATACCTCCCCCCAACACACACACTAAAAAAAAAAGCCACTAAGAAATCGGAACAAGGGCTGGAGAAAGGGATCAGTGGTAAGAGTACATCCTGATCCTGTAGAGGAGAAGGGAGCTTGGTTCCCAGCACCCACCCTGGTCTGCCACTCCACTTCCAGGGGATCGACACCTCTGGATTTCTCAGGCCCCTGCACTCACGTGTGCATACCCATATACACACATAATAAAAGTGAAAATAAATCTTAAGAATCAAAAAGGAAATTGGAACAAAGAAAATATAGATCAAGAAACAGAAGTTCTGGGCTGGAGAGATGGCTCAGTGGTTAAGAGCACTGAATGTTCTTCCAGAGGACCCAAGTTCAATTCCCAGCGCCCACATGGCAGCTCATGACTGTCTGTAACTCCAGTTCTATGGCGAAACACCAATGCACATAAAGAATAAAAAATAAAAATAAAGAGTACCCCGTCTCTTTTTATAAAAAAAAAAAAAAGAAAGAAAGAAACCGAAGTTCTGCCTTTCTGCAGCCGAGGCAAACAGTGCAGGAAGAGTCACCTGACCACAAGGCTGAGAAACCCGCAAAGCAGCAGTTTCTCTGCGCTTTTCTCTCGTGTGTGTGTGTGTGTGTGTGTGTGTGTGTGTGTGTGTGTGTGTGTGCTTTGGGGTGTGCTGCTGACAGTCTCACTGCTATGACCTTGACCTCCTGATCCTCCTACTCCATCCCCCAAGTGCTAGAATTACAGGCATTAACCACAATGGTTGGCTCCTGCATAAATTCTTTTTCTAAAAATAACTATATTTATTTATTATTTATGTATGTGTATAGGTGCGTGTTAGGAGTGTGTGTGTGTGTGTGTGTGTGTAGGTGAGTGTGTGTGTGTGTGTGTGTGTGTGTGTGTGTGTGTATGTGGTGATTCACAACTATATGTAACTCAGAGCATTTGGCATTCTCTTCTGACCTCCATGGGCACCGGGCACACATATAGTACATATACATTCATGCAGGTGAACACTCATATACATTAAAATAAAAGATCAATCTTTGGAGAGCGAGAAAGAGAACCAAGTTTACATACCTAAATAAGCCAGCCTTTTTCTCTCTCCTTGCAACCCATTTACCCCAGGAAGCACAGACAGGAGGCAAAAGCCTTAACTGAAAGGCTGCATCGTTTGCAGGGTTTATGTTGCACCAGGACATCTTAGGGCACACAGCTGCCCAGAATCCTCCCAAGTCTTCATCCGAGGCCTATGCTTCCGGAGCAGCTCCAGAAAGCTCTGCTTGCTCTACTGCCTCCAAATTGCTGACCACCCTGGCTCTGCCAACCCACTTCTCTGCCAGCAGCTTTTCCTGAGTGGGCCTGCGAGGAAATTCCTCCAGATCACAGAAGGCTTTTTGCTTTGGTCTACCCCCTCCCTCGGCAATCTTCACAATATGCTTCGAAACCAGACTGGAGGATGAAAAACCATGAATATTTACATGTAAATATTTTTTCCCTGTTGCACAGAAATAAAGATTGGAAGGAAGTCACCAGAACGCTAACAGGAAGAGATCAACAGAGCCATGGGATCAGATAAAACTGGGCCCGATTTGGGGCTGTGCCATTCTAGCTGTGTGACTTTAAGTAAGTGAGCCTGGCTGAAGAACTTTCTCCAGCCCCCAGATTCCTTTGCATGAATTACTAAGCATTAAGCACCCCAGGGAGTGTAGTTTACAGAATAAAGCAGTCAAGGCTGAGTGGACCACACTTGTATTCTCAGCTCTTAGGGAGCTGAGGCAGGGGGACTGCTAGAAGTTCAAGGCCAGCTTGGGTTACATTGCCAGTTCCAGTTCTGGGCCACAGAGACTCTGCCTCAACAAAATAAGACAAAACCAATTGGTCCAGTATGGTGGCGCACACTTTCAACCCTAGCACTAGGGAGGTAGAGGCAGGAGGATCTCTGTGAGCTTGAGGCCAGCCTGGTCTAAATACTGAGTTCCAGGCTAGCCAGGGCTACAAAGTGAGAGACCCTGCCAACCAAACCAGAACCAAATAAATAAATAAATAAGTACAAGCTGCAGAAGAGCATGTAGTAAACTTAATCAATTTCTTGGCTCCTATCAATATTTTCTCTAAAACTATTTACAATGAACATGTATTCATGTTATAAAGACTGTTATAAGCACAGACACAAACTAAAAGCTCCTTAGTAGAGAACTAACTGAATCATAAATATCCATTTTCTGGAAATACTGACTTTAAATAACAAAGTATGTCTATTGTAATGACACAAATACAGGGCAGTATACACTGAACAAACCAAAGGCATGTGACCTCTTTATAATGCGTAGACTCTCTTAAGTATGTAAACACAAAAATACTGTGGATGTATCAATAAAAAAGATGAGGACTTTAAAGTTTATTTTACTTTTTTGTTTGTTTGTTTGTTTGTTTTTTCAATACAGGGTTTCTCTGTGTAGCTTTGGAGCCTGTCCTGGAACTCGCTTTGTAGACCAGGCTGGCCTCGAACTCTCAAGGGATCCGCCTGCCTCTGCCTCCCGAGTGGTGAGATTAAAGGCGTGCGCCACCACCGCCTAGCTGTTTTAGGTTTTTTTTTGATACAGGGTCTCACTTTGTAGTTCACAAGCCTGGAACTCACTATGTAGCCAGGGCTGGGCTCCAACTCCTGGCAACCTTCTGGCCCCAGGCTCCCCTGTTCGAGAATGACTGGCATGAGCTGCCATGCCTGGCTTCCTAATCTTGTTGAAACTGAGGATGAAGGGCTCAAGAATTTCTCTGCTCGGCTGGGTTCTGAGTAGGGCCTGTCCTGCAGTGTGTGGAGGGAGGGTGCCGCCGAGTGACAAGCCTGGGCAGTTGCAGGAATGTAAAGGAGTGGATGACATACCGAAAGCCCTTACTAACTCCACAAACCAAGGCCCTAAGCCTAGTTCCAGACTGGGCCCAAGTGTTATCCGTCTGGTCCTCCCCCAGCTCGCGATCCGGCCCATCACACAACTGGGCCCCAAATTCGAGACACCCTAGGGCCACCACCCAGCACCCAAACCCATCAACCACGTGATCCCCCGCGAACCAGCTCGGGTGCCCGCACCGCTTCCGCCCGTCTCTCCTGCTCCCATCACCCTGTGCGCACCCCCGCCTCTGGCCACGCCCCCGGGAGGCCGCCCCAGCCCGAAGCCCCGCCCACACACGTGCGTGCGCGTGCTCCGTTGGCCTCCCGGGACTGTCTGACCGCCCTTAAGGCCCAGCCCTGGGAAGCCCGGGCGTGGTGTGTGCCGGGCTGAGCCACAGTGGGGGCCTGGTCAGCCGAACTCCAGCAGGGCGGTCCTGGGAGAGGCCGACATGCGCCCAGGACGTCAGATCAGAGGCTTGAAGAGGCCTGTGGGAGCGTCCAGTTTCGGGCCCAGAGGCCCCAGCACGGGCACTGGCTCCCACGCACGCGCGGAGCTCGGCTCTGCGTCGCCCCCGTGTGGCCAGAGGAAGCAGCGCCGGCAGGACTCCTGCAAGCTGCACGCGACCCAGGCACGCGCGGCCACCTAGGCGATCGGCTCTCCAGACGCCGCCCACTTCCGAAGACAGTCCGGAGAACGGGCTGAGGTTGCCATGGAGACGGCTGAACAGCCGTAGCGCTTTGCTCTGGCTGCCGCGAATCCTACTCTGGACAGAGAGGACTGGAGTGTGGTTACCCAGCAGCTTCTTTCTGCATCGTCCTCACTCTGTAACCTAAATGGATGAGGATTGATCCCTCCCCAAAGCAGCAAGGCCTTGAAGGACAAATGAGCCTCTCCTGAAAGCCTACTGTGTGAAGGCAAAGATCAATAATACTAGGAGTCCTCTCATTCCCAGTTTATGTAAGTGTATAATATTTGGGTCAGCAAAATGGATCAGTGGGTAAAGCGTTTGCTATGCAAACCTTAAGACCCGAGTTTGATTCCCAGGATCCATGTAGAGGTGGAAGGAGAAAAACAAGACGCCACAAAATTATCTTCTGACCCCCATATGCACGCAGCTGCACTCCCTGTCCCCGACAATAATAGAAAAAAAAATGAAGTTGGTAAAATGCAAGGAGGGCTGATATGCTAGGTCCCTACTGAGTGCTTTTGTATACACCATAACTGCATTCCTTACCACAATCAAGGGGTAGGCACTCTTATCTAAGAGATAAAGAAATTTAGATCCAGAGAAATAGATTGTCCAAAGTCATATTGGGGATGTAGCTCAGTGGTAAAGCGCTTACTCAGTATGTGTGAATAGCTGTTTTCAGTCCTTGGGACGCCAAAGTCAAATACAGTGGTGGACTAAGTTGGTGGTGTTTTTTGAGACGGTCCTGTGTAGCCCGGGTTGACCTTGCACCCTCAACGCAGGCACAGATGATTTCTGATTCTTCTGCTTCTATCCCTCCATCCAAGTGTTCTGCACGGTCTGTACCACCATGCCCAGTTTAATTCAGTACAGAGGATCAAACCCAGGGCATGCTAGGTAACATTCTACCAACTGAACTGCATTCCCAGTTTATATCCTGTGGGAGCCCAGTTCTTAGGTGGAGGAGAGAGGAATGAGGAAATATTAGATAGAAAGATAGACCTAGATGACCAGGAGAAAGACAGAGACACATGATAGCTTCAGGAGGCCCTGGGTCAATACCTAGTTGCCCAGAGCTTTAGTCAAAAGGGCTTTTTATAATAGGCCAAGGGGTGAAAGACTTCCCTCTTTCAAGATCAAAGCACACCTAAGTGTAGATCCTTCCAAACACCTGGTAAACACACCCCTGGCCAAATTATCCCATTATTCAGCCCTGCTGGGTAAAGCAAGCTCAGATTCTCTGACCCCGAGTAAGATCTCACTAGATAGCCTCTGTGAGTCTCCACAATATCCACTTACTTCTTTTTTTAAAGATTTATTTATTATGTATACAGTGTTCTGCCTGCATGTATATCTATACTTCAGAAGAGGGCACCAGATCTCATTGTAGATGGTTGTGAGCCACCATGTGGTTGCTGGGAATTGAACTCAGGACCGACCAGTGCTCTTAACCTCTGAGCCATCTCTCCAGCTTCTCCACTTATTTCTTTTTTTTTTTTTTTTTTTAAAGATTTATTTATTTATTATGTATACAACATTCTGCCTCCATGTATCCTTGCATGCCAGAAGAGGGCACCAGATCTCATTATAGATGGCTGTGAGCCACCATGTGGGTGCTGGGAATTGAACTCAGGACCTCTGGAAGAGCAGTCAATGCTCTTAACCTCTGAGCCATCTCTCCAGCCCCTCCACTTATTTCTAAGCCATGGTTTTTAATCCCTATCCCAGTGCCCTGGGACTTGGACGGATGTGTTTGAGAAGAACATTCTAAGCAAGAGAACTGTATGTATAAAGATGTCAAGCATGGTGGTACATGCCTGTAATCCAGCTCTTGAGAGGCAGAGGCATGAAGCTCTTGGGTTTGGGGCTACCCTAGGCTACAAAAGGAGTTCATAGGCGGTTTCAACTACAAAATAAGATCCTGTCTCAAAGAATCCAAACCTAAGACACAAATCAAAACAATGGAAACAAAGAACTGAGAAACTAGGGGTGTAGTCAGTGGTGGAAAATTTACCATTCCAAAACCACAGAAAGGAAGTGGGGAGGAAGGAAGAGAGGGAGAAAGGGGAAAGGAAAATAGATGTTTTGGACTTCAAGTGTACTGGATGAGTTTGCTTTGAGGGACAATAAACACAAAATCACGGGTTTAATATACAACTTTTACCTGTTTGAATATCAATAGAAAGAAATACTTAGTTCCTAAGAACAATCTGGTCCTGCAAGAGGCAGTCCTGGGCCATTCTGGAAGAAAACACCAATGGGAGCCCATGGACGTGCCCTGGGTAGGGGGCAACAAGATGATGTCACTGTTTGTTGATTTCCCAAGTAAGGAGTTTGCTGCTGTTCACAATTCTTTTTGAGACCCAAAGCTGGCATGTCTGATTTTAGCCCTCCTTGCTGGGCACATGGTGGTGGCTCCCTGACTTCTTTAAACAATATGGCCCTGACATGGCCTATGAGGACCTCCCGGTCTTTTTCCTTTTTGGTTTTTCCAAACTGGGTTTCTCTGTGTAGCTCTGGCTGTCCTGGAACCCCCTCTGTAGACCAGGCTGGCCCTGAACTCAGAGACCTGTCTGCCTCTGCCTCCTGAGAGCTGGGATTAAAGGCGTGTGCCACCACCACCACCACCACCACCACCACCACCACCACCACCAGGTGAGGACCTCCCAGCCTACCATGACCTTATGGGTGACAGGACTGGGTGCATGGAGGACCTCGTGGAAGAAGTAACATTTGAACTGAAACCTAGCTGACCTGTCTGTAGTGGAAGCAGTAGCTGAAAGGGGCTTGCTTTTTTTTTTTTTTTCCATTTTCATGGGTGTGGTCACGTGTGTGTGTGTGTGTGTGTGTGTGTGTGTGTGTGTGTGTGTGTGTGTGTGTGTGTGTGTGTTTACATGTACCTGTGGGTTCACACGTGTACGTTTGGCATCATCCTCAATGGTTCTTCCACTTTATTCAGGCACAGAGCTCATCTGTTATGGCCACTCTCAATAGCTTATTCTCTCCACAGGTGTCCCTGCCTTCAGAGGCTGGAGTTACACGTGGGCCACCAAGTCCACCTGGCATTTCTATGGGATCCATGGGAATCCTGGTTTTCAGGCTTGAGTGGTGAGTACTTAATCACTGAGCCATCACCCAAGCCCCTGGAAAGGGCTTTCTAGTGTGAGAGCCTGAAGAGGCATGAGCAAGAGCCTGGGGAAGAGGAGGAGTTGTCAGAGGCCAGACCAGGACCTCCAGTGAAAATCCCACAGGCATCAGCAGCCCCTGAGCATAATGTTCTGTACTGTGGGAAGCCACGGAGGCTTCAGGTAGCAGGATGGCTATTGCCTAATCACTCCAACATATAATTCAAGTGCATCGTCAAGTGTAGAGTGCTGGGCATGTTTTAGAGCAATAAGGCTTTAGGTCCATAAGTCAGGAAGCTCACACCCTTCTTTGTGTGTGTGTACATGTGTGTACAGAAGCCTGAGGCTGATACCTGGTGGCTTCCTCAACTGCTCTCCAGTTTTGTGGGTTTTCTTTCTTTCTCTCTCTCTTTCTTTCTTTCTTTTCTTTCTTTCTTTCTTTCTTTCTTTCTTTCTTTCTTTCTTTCTTTCTTTCTCTCTCTCTCTTTCTTTCTTTTCTTTCTTTCTTTCTTTCTTTCTCTCTCTCTTTCTTTCTTTCTTTCTTTCTTTCTTTCTTTCTTTCTTTCTTTTTTTCTTTCTTTCTTTCTTTCTTTCTTTCTTTCTTTCGGTAGCTGAGGTCCAAACCCAGGGCCTTGCGCTTGCTATGCAAGCGCTCTACCACTGAGCTAAATCCCCAACCCCTCATTTTTGTTTTTTGAGACAGAATCTCTCTATGTAATCTTTACCAACCTAGAACTCACTCTGTAGACCAGGCTAGCCTCAAATCTCTGAGAGATCTGCCTGCCTCTGCCTCCTGAGTGCTGGGATTAAAGAAGTGCACCACTAACCCGGGCTCCACTTTCTTTATGAGGCAGAGTCTCTTGCTGGACCTGAGGCTCAGCAGTTCAGCTAGAATGGCTGGGCACCCAGCCTCAGGGACCCTCCTATCTACACTTCTCCCCAGTATCAGGATCATAAGTACACGCTGCCACACCTAACTTTTTTTTTTTTTTTTTTTTTTTTTTTTTTTTTTTTTGGTTTTTCGAGACAGGGTTTCTCTGTGTAGCTTTGCGCCTTTTCCTGGAACTCACTTGGTAGCCCAGGCTGGCCTCGAACTCACAGAGATCCGCCTGGCTCTGCCTCCCGAGTGCTGGGACTAAAGGCGTGCGCCACCACCGCCCGGCCCACACCTAACTTTTATGTGGGTCCTGGGAATTGAACTCAGGTCCTCCTGCTTGCACAAGTGCTTTACAGACTAAGCCGTCTTCCTGGCTACAAGCACGTCGTTGAAGGAGGTCACAGGTAGTAACTTTCCTATGGAGGCAGAAGGCAGTTTGCCACACTTTTCCAGAGCAGTCATTTCAACTCTGGTAGCTGGCTGTATTTTATATTTGTCTCCATTTCTCTAAAGAAATATGCTGGTTTCACTGCTTCTTGGTGTTTCAGTTTTCGACACCATCCTATGATTCTCTGCTATAAAAGACAGTTTTCACTCTACTCATCACTTGCCCACCGCACACACAATCCCCATCTCCCCAGACTGCCAAAATATTTTTGGTGAGTTCAGTATTTGTTCACTTGCCAAAGTTATGATTTTTCCTTTCCTTTACAAGTTTCTCTTTTCCCTGGAGCCCACAGTTGTCACCCGCTCATTCATTCATTCATTCATTCATTCATTTTTAAGTCTCTCTCTCTCTCTCTCTCTCTCTCTCTCTCTCTGGCTGTTCAGGAGGATCTGGTGCCCTGGGTGGGTCTCTCTGGAAGCCTGGGTGTTTAGTAAGGTTCAACACCTGTGCAGGAAGGGGGAGGAAGCAGGACTGGCCAGAAGTCAAACAGCAGCAAAGGCCTGGCAAAGCCCACAACCTCCTGATGCCCTCCCATCAGCTTAGCAAGCTGAGCAGAAGGGCTCCACTCTGCTGTCACCACAGCTCTGCAGTCCCGCTGGCTCACCCGCCCGCCCTCAGCAGGTCCTCCCCTGCAAGGGTGACAGCAAGGATCAGCAAGTAGTGTAAATTTGAGGCCAACTGCAAAGGAGCTGACAGCTGAAGGCATTTGTTATCCAAAACTCCCGAAGCTGGGCAGCAAGCCCTTCCTTGAAAGGGAGGTGCGTCTCCATGACTACCACACCCCATATTATGTCAGTTTCACCTTGAAGACACTTTTCTTGGAGTCCTCTGTTCTGATGCAGTATGGAGGATCTGTCCTTTTTGTATATTAGCCCAACAGCTATCATTCTAGGTAAGGCCCAGATTATATAGGCTAAAGAGTCTATAGCCTATATAATATTGTCTATATTATAGACCGTCTGAGGAACCTTAAACACACATACACACACACACTCACACACACACACACACACAAAATAAAGACAGGCAGTGGTGGCACATGCCTTTAATCCCAGCACTCAGGAGGCAGAGCCAGGCGGATCTCTGTGAGTTAGAGGCCAGCCTGGTCTACAGAGCGAGATCCAGGACAGGCAACAAAGCTGCACAGAGAAACCCTGTCTCGAAAAACCAATCAACCAACCAACCAACCAAACAAACAAAAAAGCACCAAAACCATACACACACACACACACACACACACACACACACACACACACACACACACACAAATAGTAATTTATTACTTTAGTAAAAGTAAAAAAGCAGCAGCAGGACTCTGGTGGCACACACCTTTAATCTCAGCACTTGGGAGGCAGGGACAGGTGGATCTCTGAGTTCAAGGCCAGCCTGGTCTACAGCATGAGTTCCAGGACAGCCAAGACTACACAGAGAAACTATTTCAAAACAAACAAATAAAAGACAGAAGCAGCTGGAGACATGTGTGGTTCAGAAATGAAGAACACTTACTGTTCTTGCAGAGCTGGGTTCCAAGCACCTGCATCAACCCCAGAACTTCCGTAACTCCATCTTCAGGGGATCTTCTGGTCTCTTCCGGCTCTTACAATGATGTGTACATACCTCCTGCAACTCCACATACACATAATTAAACACAAGACAAATTCTGATTTTTAAAATTTGTATTATTATTATTTGTTTTGTTTTTCGAGACAGGGTTTCTCTGTGTAGCTTTGGAGCCTGTCCTGGAACTCACCCTGTAGCCCAGAAAATTTGTATCATTTTAAATTACGTGTATGCATGTTTGTACTTGTTTGTGTGTCTGTTGTGTGGGTATGTGCATGTATGTGCAGGTCCTATGGAGACCAGAAGAGTAGTATCTCCAACCCCAACACAAAAAAGATATCCAAACCTAACCCCTGAGTAACCCTAACTAAAACTTTAACCCTAACACCTAACATCAGCCCTAACCATAACCCTAACAACATCCTAACCCAAACGTGACCCTAAACCTAACCCTAAACCTAAACTTAACACAAACACTAACCTGTAACCCCAACATTAACCATAACCATTACTTTTACCCCATCCTTAAACCTAACCTTAAGCACAACCCCAACCCTTACCCAAACCAAAATCACAACCCTAACATTAACCCTAACCTCCTGAACCCAATCAGAACACCAACCACAACCCCAAAACCTAACCCAAACTTTACCCTAACTCTAACTCTAACCACAAATGCTAACCCCACACCAACCCTTACCCCAAACCCAATCCTAACTCAAAACCTACATTTTAGCTTCTTTAAGAGTTTCTGCTTGCCGAGTGGTGGTGGCACACTTAATCCCAGCACTCAGGAGGCAGAGGCAGGTGGATCTCTGTGAGTTCGAGGCCAGCCTGGGCTACAGAGTGAGTTCCAGGAAAAGCTCCAAAACCACACAGATAAACCCTGTCTCAAAAAACCAAAAAACATAACAAAACAAAAAGTTTCTGCTTTACAGTGAGTCCTTGCACAGCCAGTATGTTAAGGAAAACTGCTCCACCACCGCCCAGCTATTTATTACTTTTAATGACTGTCTATATCTTTTCTCTTTCTTTCTCAAGCCTACACACAACTTAAAACACACTCAACCTGTTTAGAAGTATTTTTTCCATCTGGACCTGTCCTTACTTCATATCTCTAGTCTTTTTTTGTCTGCATGAGCAACCTTGCACTAACCCAAAGAGTAAAGAGTACACAAAAAAAATCCAATTACACCCAACACCAATGGCAACCCCTACCCAAACCACATCCTAACCCTAGCACTAACTCTAACCACCCAAACCCAATCTGAATACCAACCGATACACCAACATCTAACACCAACCTTAAAACTAAACCTAACTCTAACCAAAAACCCTAACCACAAAAATGACCCCTAAACCAAACGAATTCCATGATAAAAATAACCCTTGTATTAACACTAACAGTAAACCAAACACCAACCATAACCCTAACCATAAACCCAACCCCCAGCCCAACCCCCAATCCAAAACCAACCAAAAAACCAACCCTAAACAAACCCTACTCTAACCCTAATATTAATGCTAACCTTAACCCTAACCATAACCATAACTTTAACCCCAACTTTAACTCAAAACCTAAACATAATCAGAAAACGGAACTAAACAAAACCCTTAATAAAAATCTAACATTAACCTGAACCATAACACCCATCCCTACACAAACCCTAACCAAACCCTAAATTTAACATAAACCTTAACAGTAACCTAAAACTAAAAATGCCCTAACCTTAATAAAACTCGATCCCTAAGTTTAACCATAACCACTAAACATAATCCTAAATATAACCTTAAAACATAGCCTAAGCCAAATTATAACCCTATCCCTAAATCCAATCCTAACCCTAACCAAATTATATCAACAATCCCATAACTCTAAGCCTATCTCTAATCCTAAATCAAACACTAACTTTAACCCTAACCCCAAACCTAAACCCCTAACCCTAACCCCTAAACCTAAACCTTAACACTAACCCAATATCTAAGTCTAAACCTTAACCTTAACCATTAATACTAACCCTAAACCTAACCAAAACCAAATAACCTATAACCCAAACCCTAAACTATAACCCTAACCCCTAACCTAACCCTAACCCTGACTCTAATCCTAAATCCAACCCTAACCCTAACCCTAATGGACAGCTTTACAATTTTATTGAATCTTTCCACCAAGAGGAAGTAACCACAGGGCTTAAAGGTGTTTCTTCTGCTTCCCTCTAAGGGTGCATACATCACAACTAAGCTAGAAGCCATAGAATGCTTGCCTAACCTGAACCCTAAGCCCAAACCTAACACCAAACTTATCCCCATCCCTAACCCTAACAACAACACTAATCTCAACACAAGCCCTAACCCTCAAACTTAACAATAACTCTAACTCTAGAAAATCCTAACCCTATGTTCTGGGAAATGATAATTGTGCCTTTTATTCTCAAAAGGTGTTATGCCCACCTTGTTATGCTCACCTTGTTATGACCACATTGTTATGCCCAACTTGTTATGAATACATTGTTATGACCACATTGTTATAATCACATTGTTATGACCACCTTGTTATGACCACATTGTTATAACCACCTTGTTATGACCACCTTATTATGCCCACCTTGTTTGGACCACATTGTTATGCCCACCTGTTATGAACACATTGTTGTGACCACTTTGTTATGACCACCTTATTATGCCCACCTTGTTTGGACCACATTGTTATACCCACCTGTTATGAACACATTGTTGTAACCACATTGTTATGACCACCTTGCAACCATGTCTTTGTTTCAGGAGGTTGCTACAACCAACTTGTTATGCTTATGTTCTGCTTCCATAACAATGCCTATTCATCTTCCAAATCCCTCACTTGGAAACTCCCTATTCTGGAACTAAAAAAAAAAAACCTTATCTTTCCATAGGCTGACCTCTTGAACCTTGCCTTAGAGGGAAACAGCCTGTGTACATGAACAAAAAGGCTTGCTTTAATTAACTTGGCCATGATTTGGGTCTCTGGTCTTTCTCCTCCCATCTGTGAGATTGACAGGTGCCCTTTGATAGATCTACAGTTATCTATTGCACAAGGGATGTCACATTTTCTTCTATGTGTATCATGTTTATCGCTTTGAAGGACTGAGATTGAACTCAGAGCCTAGCATACCCTAGGCAAGTACACTACCACCGAGCTACATCGCCATCCCATTTAAAAAAAGAAGATTTTAATTTTAAAAATTTACGTTTGGGTTAGGGTATGTGCGTAGCTGTGACACAAGTATAGAGAGGTCAGAGGATGATCTTCAGAGTCAGTTAGCTCTCCCCACCATGTGGCTTCCAGGATTGAACTCAGGTCTTCAGACTTGGAGGCAAGCACCTTCACCCACTCACTGGCCCTCATTTTCTTTTATTTTCTTATTAGACACAGGCTCTAATTGGCAGTCAGAACAAAAATGTCGACAATTGCCTCCATATCATTTGCATTGCGGGTAACTGGCTAACAAACAACCAGAAACACAGGCAAGTCCTGTTTCATCTCAAAACAATAAAGAGTATTTTCTCAGTATATTCCTATAAACAGTCATAGAAATTATTTATTTTATATTTTCATTTTTCAAGACAGGGTTTCTCTGTGTAGCCCTGTCTGTACTGGAACTTACTATGGAGACCAGGCTGGTTTCAAACTCACAGAGATCTGCCTGCCTCTGCCTCTCAAGTCCTGGGATTAAAGGCATGAGCCACCACCACCGCCACTACCATCAACAGTCAAAAATTTAAAACCAAACTGTTTCTGAGCATGGTAGCCATACCTTTAGAAGGCAAAGTAGATGGGTCTTTGTTAGTTTGAGTACAGTCAGGGAAACATAGTGACACCCTGTCTCAAAACAAAACAAAACAAAAATCAATAAGTTTTGTGGTAGCATTCCACATCTTTCTGAAAGTTGAACATTGAAATTTGAAGAATGCTGCCCTGGTGGTGGCATCTCATGCCCTTAATCCAGGCACTCAGAAGGCAGAGGCAGGTGGATCTCTGAGTTCAAGGACAACCTGGTCTACATAGTGAAGTCCAGGATAGTCAGGGCTACATAAAGAAACCCTGTCTCGAAAAACCAAAAAAATGCTAGACAGAGGTGGTTCATGTCTTTGATCCCATCACTCGGGAGGCAGAGGCAGGCAGATCTTTGTGAGTACAAGGTCAGCTTGGGCTATAAAAGGACAGCCAAAACTGTTACACTGTATATCTTTACAAGAAAAAGACAGAGAAAAATTTGCCTTCCCAGTGCTTACTTATAATAATTCTCAGCCCGTTAAGAGATATCAATGGGAGGTTCTCCCACAGGGAATGTTAAATAGCCCAACCCTGTGCCAATATTTGGTATGTAAACTGGTGGAAATGATATGCAAGCAATTTCCTCGACCTATAGTTTACCATTCCATGGATGACATCTTACTAGCTGATTCAAATGTAGAAACTTTAGTAAGAATGTTTGAAGAAGTAAAGAAAATTTTGCCTTCTTGGGGATTACAAATTGCTCCTGAAAAAATACAAACAGGAGATTCTATTAATTATTTAGGATCTAAAATAGGTCTGCAAAAAATTAGACCCCAAAGGGTGCAAATTAGGAGAGATCAATTGCAGACTCTTAATGACTTTCAAAGATTGCTAGGATATTTCATATCTATGGCCCACTACTGGGGTAAAAAATGATGAACTGATTAATTTCTTTCAAACCTTAAAGGGTGACAAGGACATAAATAGTCTAAGAGAATTAGCAGCTGAAGCTGAGAGAGAATTGGCTTTGGTGGAAAAGAAATTAAAGGATGTACATATTGATCGTTTGGATTCAGAGCTTGATTGCATTCTGATTATTTTACCCTCTACACATTCTCTATTAATAAAGACAGAAGATGTTATCTTCAAATGGATCTTTTAACCATATAAGCAGCATTAAAAATTAAAAAACTTGCCGGGCGGTGGTGGCGCACGCCTTTAATCACAGCACTTGGGAGGCAGAGCCAGGCGGATCTCTGTGAGTTCGAGGCCAGCCTGGGCTACCAAGTGAGTTCCAGGAGAAGCACAAAGCTACACAGAGAAACCCTGTCTCGAAAAAAAACAAAAAAAAAAAACCAAAAAAAAAAATTAAAAAATTTATGTGGAAAAGTCTCTGAGTTGGTTCTAAAAGGAAAATTGAGACCTTGTCAATTCAGCAGGAATAGACTCAGCAGAAATTGTAGTACCTTTTACTAATGATGAAATTGATGAATTATGGGCAGAAAGTGAACCTTGGCAAAGAGCTTCCAGTAAGTTAATTTTTTTTTTTTTTTAGTTTAGTTTTTCAAGACAGGGTTTCTCTGTGTAGCTTTTTTGCCTGTCCTGGATCTCGCTCTGTAGACCAGACTGGCCTTGAACTCACAGAAATCCACCCAACTCTGCCTCCTGAGTGCTGGAATTAAAGGCGTCCACCACCACCACCGCCCGACACTTCCAGTAATTTTTTGGGAGAGATTAACAACAAATATCTCCAAAGCAAGATAATTCAATTTATAAAGAGAACTAATTAGATCCTTCCTCACATTGTAAAGGGAACACCAATTTCTAGAGTTCCTACATTTTATACTGATGCAAACAAATCAGGAAAGGCTGGTTACAAATCAGGAAATTTAAGTAAAGTGTCTCAAAGCCCTTACGATTCTGTCCATAAGTCAGAATTATATGCTATTCTGATGGTAGTAATGGATTTTACAGAACCTCTTAACATAGTTACTGACTCTCAATATGCAGAAAGAGTTGTTTTATACATTGAAACTGCTGAATTTATTCCTGATGAGTCAGAATTAACTTTGATATTTATTCACTTACAAGAAATAATCAGGAATAGAAATCATCCCTTATATATAACACACATCCAGTCCCATATGGGTCTGCCAGGCCCTCTAGCACAAGATAATGATGAAACTGATCAAATGTTGTTAAGAAATGTGCTGGAGGCCTCAGAGTTTCATAAAAATCACCATGTCAATAGCAAGGGTTTGAAAAAGGATTTTTCCATTACTTAGCAACAAGCCAAGAAAAATGATAAGGAAATGTCCTGCTTGTTCTTTATACAACCAAACTCTACTACCTGCAGGAAGTAACCCAAAGGGCACTCAAAGCAATAAAATCTGGCAGATAGATGTGTTTCATTTTGTAGAATTTGGAAAATTAAAATATGTATATCACATCATTTATACCTATTCAGGATTTCAATAGGCAACATACCTATTCAGGATTTCAATAGGCAACTGCTTTGAGTTCTGAAAAGGCTGACACTGTAATCTCACATCTGCTAGAAGTTATGGCCATCATGGGCATACCTGTACAAATTAAGACTGACAATGTTCCAGCATATGTCTCTAGTAAAATGAAACAGTTTTTTGCTTATTGCAATCTAAAGCATATTATAGGTATACCACACAGTCCTACAGGGCAAGCAATTATAGAAAGATCAAATCAAAGTCTAAAGGATATGCTAAATAAACAGAAAGGGGTAACAAAAACCCCCAGAAATAGACTGCATAATGCTCTATTAACTTTGAATTTTCTCAGTGCCAATGAGAAAGGAACAACAGCTGCAGAGAGACATTGAATAATAGAAAAAACTACAGAATTAAATCAGCCTTTATACTTTAAGTATGTGCTGACCTCAGAATGGAAACCAGGATATGTGTTACGTTGGGGACGAGGTTTTGCTTTTGTTTCTACAGGAAAAGATAAGCTAAGGGGACCATCAAAATTGATAAAGGTTCGATGTGAACAAGAGAGACCTCTTAATTAGAGGAGGTGATAGTTCATCAACCAGCATGAACATCCAATTTAAACTAACTTATACCAGTAACACATGCCTTTTCATTTAATCAGATAATAACTTGCCAAAAAGGAACCTCCCCAAAATTAGTCTTGGGGAAAGGTTTTTGTTTTTGTCTTTTAGGAGAATGAAGGTTAAGGAATCTGAAGAACACTGGACAAATGAGACAACTGAAGAAAAGGGACAAATCATCTACCCCAGGAAACAGAGTGAAATGGCGTATGGGTATATATTATCTAAAAAATTTTATGTCTTCCTAAATGTTTGTTTCTGCTCTTCTCTAAAGATTTAACACTATTGGTCTTCTAATAGTCCCAGTTCAATTAAAATTTAAAGCTGACTTTGGAGTTGGAAAATGGCTCTCTCCTTCTTTAAACTCAAGCATGTTGTTAAAAGGAAAATGCAAACTCCCTGTATCATGCCAGAAGAAAAGAGCCATCTTCTGCTATGGGACAGGAGAAAAGCCAAATTAATTAAGGGACTATTCTATTACTAATCTCAACTCTTTGGTTCTATTCTGATTCTTTAAACTTTTCTTAAAGTATGAATTTTATATCAAAATTTACAACACCTATATATATATATATATATATATATATACATTTTAAACTTTGTTAAGATATGAATGGTCATATAGAGTACTAACTAATTCTAGAAAGAAAACAGGCTTTAATTAGCTACATATATATGTCTTTGTCTTTGTGTTCAAGTCTCTTATCAGTTTTCTGCAGGAAGTCACGGCCAGGCCTAACATCAACTGAAGTCTCCAGGAAGAAGATGGGGCCCCACAACAACAACAATTCCACGTGGACAATAATAATATCACTAAGCTGACAAACATCATCTACAGATCAGCTTTGAACTACAAAGTGCTCAGAGCAATTTTGAGATGGCTAGCTGAGATGATCCAGTCTCAAAGACTACTTGAATAAGGACTTGAGATAAACCCTGAACATCAGGCTCTCTAGAACTGGTGGCACAGTCTGACTCACTGAGTCAGAATGCAGCTCATTTTCATCTTCACCTCATTTCATTTCCCTGCCAGCTGTGATACCTGCAGGGACTCCCCTAACACACCAAGAACCTCTAGTCTCCTGCCTCTAATCTTGCCTTAGGTAAGCTGGGATTTCAGGTGTGAACCCACCACACTGTAGCTCAAGTCTGCAGGCTGCAGCTGGCCTGAGAGACACACTAGGAAGCTCTTCTTAGCTCCATTTTAGAATCTTTTTTAAAGTTTTCTCAATTTTTAGGTGCAAAGTCTTGCTCCACATTGGGTGCCATTTTTAATTGGAAGTTTTCCTGTGTTCCTGCCTGGTCCTGCAGCCCCACAGCCACTTATAAAATAATTACTCAGAGACTTATATTAATTATAACTGCTCGGCCATTAGCTCAGGCTTATTATTGACTAGCTCTTGCATTTAACCCATAATTCTTACCTATGTTTAGCCCTGTGGCTTGGTACCTTTTCTCAGTTCTGTCTTGTCATCTTGCTTCCTCTGTTTCTGGCTGGTGACTCAGCCCTCCTCTTCCCAGAATTCGCCTCTCTGCTTGCCCTGCCTATACTTCCTGCCTGGTTACTGGCCGTTCAGCGTTTTTATTTACCAACCAATCAGAGCAACACATATTCATAGCATACAGAATGACATCCCACAGCACTACTGTTTATCTGGAGTCACTGTACCCACTGAAAGTGATCCTGAGCCTTTAGGGGTATTTATTATCTAGATTAGGTTAGTTCTACTCTTCCCAGCTTCCAGAGTTTTGCCTGGGACAGTTAAGCTGCTTGATAAATATTCTAAGTGTGATAATGTACAAACGATAGCACCATGTAATAGGAATGTAACAAACACCCTTAGAGAATGTAGTATAATGGTTAATTTTGATTATCTGCTAGTTTGGATGCAGAAATACTTAGCAGGACATATCCCTGAGTGTATCTTTGAGAATGTGGCCAGAGAGAGTCATGAGGACTCTGGACTGATGAGTGGTTAATGCCATTGATGGACCAATAGCATGATGCCCTTATTGGGATGTGGTGGAAAGTGCAATGTGGGATCTGATTGGAGAAAGTAGGTCATGGGGAATGTGTCCTTGGGGGGTATTTCTGTCCCTGCTTCCTTCTCATTACTGAGCAAGGTGTGAACCTCTACAGCACCTCTCTGAGTGTGTCTGTGAGGCCATTTTCAGAGGAGGACTCTGGTGTAGTGAATGCTTTACTTCACTGATGAATTTACAACTTGGACAGCTTATTGGGAAGTGCTGCAATGGTGGAAAGTGGAGTCTGGTTAGAGAAAGGTTGCTAATGGTGTTTCCAGGGGGAAACTTTCCTGAGGCTTCATTCCCTCTGTCTCTGGCTGTCCTGTCCTGTGAGATGTCTTTCTGTATGCTGTGAATATGTATTGCTCTGACTGGTTGATAAACAAAGCCATTTGGCCTATGGCAAGGCAGCTTAGAGGCAGGCAGGAAATACAAGCAGATAGAGAGGAAGAAGAAAGGAGAGAAGAGAGAGATGCCAGCCTGCCGCCCAAGGAACAACATGCCAGCAGACTAGTAAGTCACGGAGCACGTGGCAAACCATAGATTAATAGAAATGGGTTAATTTAAGATATAAGAGCTATCTGGCAAGAGGCCTGCCATAGACTATAGAGTTTTTAAAATTAATTTATTTATATTATGTTTATGAGGGCTCTATCTGCATGTACAAATTTATGCCAGAAGAGGGCATCAGATCCCACTATAAATGGTTGTGAGCCACCATGTGGTTGCTGAGAATTGAACTCAGGACCTCTGGAAGAGCTGCCAGTGCTCTTAACTGCTGAGCCATCTCTCTAAGCAGACTATACAGCTTGTAAATAATGTAAGCCTCTGTGTATTTACTTGGGACCCAGCAGCTGTGGGACAGGGTGGGACACAGGAAAACTTCTGACTACAGTCATGAGTTGAACTGTCCTCCTCACCCCGGAGGACTGGACCATCTGATGCCATGAGCCAAAGAAGTCCTTCCTTCCTCATTATGACATGTATTTTGCCACAATCATGTGCAAAATTTGAATAGTAGATCATGTTAAAACAAAAAAATCAAGAAGAGCCAGTATGACAGCCAATGCCTATAATTCTGGTATTTGAGAAACTGAGGCTGTAGGACTGCTGCTAGTTTGACTAGCCTGGGCTACATAATGAATTCTAGACCATCCTAGGCTAGAGCATGAGATCCTACCTCAAAACAAACAACAGAAACAGATGAGAAATACTTTTTTTTTCTTTTTTGGTTTTTTGAGACAGGGTTTCTCTGTGTAGCTTTGTGCCTTTCCTGGAACTCACTCTGTAGCCCAGGCTGGCCTCGAACTCACAGAGTCCACCTACCTCTGACTCCTGAGCGCTGGGATTAAAGTCATGTGCCACCACCACCCGGTTTCACTTTTTTTTCTTTTGTGTTTGTTTTGAGACATGGTCTTACTATGTAGCCTTGGCTGTTCTGGAACTTACTTTGTATACTAGCCTTACTTTGTACGCTATCTTTTAACTCACAGCCTTTCTCCTGCCTCTGCCTCCCAAGTGCTAGTATTACAGGTGCGCACCACCATGATTAATTATAAAATTTTAATAATAAGCTGGGCATAGTGGAACCTTTAATCCCAGTACTGGGTATGCAGAGGCAAGCAGAGATTTATGAATTCAAGGCCAGCCTTGTGATATTTTATTTGTATGTTAATAAATAAAGTTAGCTTGGAGATCACAGGAAATAGCAAGCCATTTTAAGTAAACACAAAAGTCAGGCAGTGGTAGCACATGCCCTTAATCTGATCCCTTGGCAGACAGGGTCTCTGTGTGTTCAAGGCCATACTAGGGAACAGAGCCAAGTGTGGTGACACAGGCCTTTAATCCCAGTACCAACCATAGAGATCTGGAGGTCTGTATAGACAGGCAGTGACAAAGAAGTGAGGTAGCTGGGCTAAGAGCCAATGAGAGGGCAGAACAGCAAGGCAATAAAAGCCTGGGTAGACAGGAAGTCGTGGCATTTTGGAAGTTGCAGAGCTGGTAAGGTAAGGTTGGTTGGTGGCTCTCACTATTTCCCTGATCTCTAAGGCTTTCATCCCTATATTTGGCTCCGTGTTTTTTATTTAATAAGACCTTTAGAAATTCATCTACACAGCCCAGTCTACATAGTGAGTCCCAAGTCAGCCAGATCTATATAGTAGTACCATGCCTCAAAAAATCTTTTTTTTTTTTTTTTTAAGGTTTATTTATTTATTATGTATACAGTTCTCTGCCTGCATGTGTCCTTGCAGGCCAGAAGAAGGTACCAGATCTAATTGCAAGTGGTTGTGAGCCACCATGTGGTTGCTGGGAATTGAACTCAGGACCTCTGGAAGAGCAGTCAGTGCTCTTAACCTCTGAGCCATCTCTCCAGCCCTCAAAAAATCTTTTTTAATAATATATTTTTAGCTGGGCGGTGGTGGCGCACGCCTTTAATCCCAGCACTTGGGAGGCAGAGGCAGGCGGATCTCTGTGAGTTCGAGGCCAGCCTGGTCTCCAAAGCGAGTTCCAGGAAAGGCGCAAAGCTACACCGAGAAACCCTGTCTCGAAAAAACAAAAACAAAAAAAAAAAAAAATATATATATATATATATATATATATATATATATATATATATATATTTTAAACCATATGTGATGTGATAGCATATGTCTATATTCTCAGCTACTGGGGAAGCTGAAGCAGGAGAATCACCTGAGGCCCAGAGGTGTGAGGCCAGACTGGGCAATATAGTGAGAGTACCTCAAGAAAATAGAAACTAATTTTAACATAATGCACCAAAATTATTATCAATATAATTATTAATACTTTTCTGTAGCTGGAGAGTTTCTCTCCAGGTTCCACCAAGCCCCTGCAGTCCTGCAGCCCACTTATAAAATAAATACACAGACGCTTATATTATTTAAACTGTTTGGCCTAATGGCTCAGGCTTCTAGCTAGCTGTTCTTATATCTTAAATTAACCCATTTCTATTCATCTATAAGTTGCCACATGGCTCATGGCTTACCGGTATCTTAACATCTTCTCATGGCGGTGGCTGGCAGCATCTCTCTGCCTCAGCCTTCCACTTCCCAGACCTCTCCTCTCTCTTTGTCCCATCTATACTTCCTGTCTGGCTACTGGCCAATCAGTGTTTTATTTATCAATCAATCATCCACAGCACTTTTCATTCTTTTTCTTCTACAAATTCTATTCTAAAAATCCAGTGTTTATTTTATGCCCTCAGTACTTTTCAACTATATAATACATTAGACTGGCATGATGGCTTGTGCCTGTCATTGAAGCATTCAGGAAGCTAAGACTGTGTGGGTGTGGGGACCATGAGGTCAAAGCCACACACAGTGAGATACTATCTTAAATAATAATAATGGCATTAATAGTAATAGTAATGAGTTAATTTTGTTTTTGTCTTTTGAGATAGGGTTTCTCTGTGTATGCCTGGCTGTCCTAGAACTCTATAGACCAGGATGGCCTCAAACTTAAGAGATCTGCCTGCCTCTGCCTCCCAAGTCCTGGGATTAAAGGCATGCCATCCCCATCCAGCTGTAATGAGTTCCTTAATGGAATTGATCCCATTTTGAAGGACTCAGCAAGCTGACTGTGGCTAGTGATGTACACACACAGGTTAGTTTCTCAGTCAAGTTCAGGTGTTATGAAGCGTCAGACACACAGGCACAGATCCTTGAGTCTGAGAAGAATGGGACCAGAAGGGAGGGACATGGTAGTGACGTTATAAGATGTGCCTGTTCATGGTGGACAATGGATGGAAACTTGGAGGCCATTGCAAGTTGCTATGCAATTTGTTTTAATTCCCAAGATCTCATGTGAATACTTGAGATTCCCAAACGCTCTGTATTAGTTGATTTTCTGTTGCTGTATAAAACATCATTACCAAAAGCAACTTATGGAAGTATTTATTTGGGCTTATGATTCCAGAGAGAGAGAAAGAGTCCATAATTGAGCCGAGAGCATAGCCTCAGATGGTCAGAGCAAGAATCTTGGAGATCACTTTAATCCTCATTCAGGAAGTAGAGAGAGCTAAGTGGAAGTGAGGCAAGGCTTCAGCCTCTCAAAGGCCTCCTCCAGGTACTTCCTCCACCAAAGACAACTTCTCCCAAAGTTCCCATAACCTCCCCAAACAACACCACTAACTGGGGAGCATGGGTTCAGTTACTGGAGCCTATGGGTGATGTTCCTCATTTAGACAGGCACACCATCCCTAAAGACTATTCGGTTTATAGTTTAATAGATTTTATGGGCAAATTTACAAAACAGCACAGAAGACAGACAACATGTCCTTGTACATAGAACAACCCAGAAAACCATAGAGAATAAGGCTGTGCTGGCTAGTTTTATGTCAACTTGACACAAACTGGAGTCATCTGAGAGGAGGGAACCTCAATTAGGAAAATGCCTCCAGGGGCATGCAGTGGTGGCACATATCTTTAATCCCAGCACTTGGGAGGCAGAACTAGGCAGATCTCTATAAGGTCGAGAGGCCAGCCTGGTCTGCAGAGCAAGTTCCAGGACAGCCAGGCAGGGCTACACAGAGAAACTCTGTCTTGAAAAGAAAAAAAGAAAGAAAGAAAAATAAAAGAAAAAAATTTACTTAATTTTTTCTGGTCATGGTGACTAATGCATTCGGAAGGTAGAGGCAGCAGAATCAGGAGTTCAAGGTCATCCTTGGCTATATAGTGAGTTCAAAGCCAGCCTGGGCTATATGAGTCCCTGTCAAAAGGAAAAGAAAGAAATACACTTATTTTTAAAAATTTCAAATTTTCCCAAACTTTTCACAGATTAATTGCTATAAAGTTGATTCTTGAAACTATTCACTAGGACACTTTTGACATTTGTTTATATTTAAATTTCACACAAGTGGGAAGTTTATCAATTCCTGACTTCTGTCCCCAAAGGTTCTATTCACAGTCATTAATTTAAGTACCCTACAGAATATGACAGGAAGAGAAGACAAAGAAAAAAAAATTAAGAACAAGGTTTTGTGCTGGAGAGAAGGTTTAGTGGCTAAGAACACTTGCTACTCTTCTACATGGTGGCCCCCAACTGCCTGCAACTCCAGCTCCTCCTCTGGCCTCACAGGTACCCATGCACACACAGACACACAGACACAGACACACACACACACACACACACACACACACACACACACACACACAGTGAATTAAAAAAAAATTTAAGAGTGAAATATTCAGCCTGGTCTACAGAGGGAGTTCCAAGACAGCCAGGGCTACACAGAGAAACACTATCTCAAAAAAACAAAAAACAAGAAACAAACAAAAAAAAAGTAATGTTTCCTGGAACAGTGAGAATCTTAAGCACTTCCCCAGTGAATGGGTTTGCTAGCTGGAGATATTTTGGCATAATTGTTACATACTTGGCATAGAAAGCACAAGGTTATTATCTTCAAAATGCCAGCCAAACAGGCCTCACTTGCCTCCTGCAAAGAACCAATGCTGCACTCTGGATGCTCAGATCTCTTTTGAGATCCTGAACAATTTATTTTCTGTAGTCAAAAGTTTTCCTGTGTCCTACCCGGCCCACAGTCGGGACAAATCTCTCCAACGTGCTTGGTCTCAAGTAAACACACAGAGGCTTAATATTATTTACAAACTGTATGGCCTATGGCAGGCCTCTTGCTAGCTAGCTCTTATATCTTATATCTTTAAATAACCCATTTCTCCCCAGACTCCGCTGTTCTCTTTCCTGTCTCTCTCCTTGGATTTCCTGCCTGCCTCCAAGCTGCCTTGCCAAAGGTCAAAGCAGCTTATTTATTAACCAATGGGAACAACATATATTTATAGCATACAGAAACATATCCCCCAGCACTATCTAATCAAAAGGAAGGTTTTAACTTTAATATAGTGATATTATATATAAAGCAAATAGTTATCAAGCAAGAATTACAGTTACAGGGGCTGGAGAAATGGCTCAGAGGTTAAGAGCACTGACTGCTCTTCCAGAGGTCCTGAGTTCAATTCCCAGCAACCACATGATGGCTCACAACCATCTGTAATAAGATCTGGTGCCCTCTTCTATATACATAATAAATAAATAAATCTTTAAAAAAAAAAAAAAAAGAATTACAGTTACAATATCTAGTCTCTTTGTATTTGGCAAAATTAAAGAAAATATTTTATCATCTATCATATATTGTGAGTCTAAAGTTTCATATCTAATTTATCTTTTATCATAACTAAAGAAAATTATAACTATCTAGTCTTCAACTACATCAAAGACCTCAGAAGGATATAATATTACCTAAGTAAACAGGAAGAGCATTATAAGCAACTTCCAAAAATCTAGAATGACAGAGACAGCTGGTTTCCTGGACAGGCATCCATCTTCAGCCTATAGGCCTAGGGTCTCTCAGTCACTTCTCTCTGTGTCCTGAGGAATGTCTGGCAGTCTCCTCTGTGAAGCAGGAACTTGAAGGACCATCTTGTCTTGTTGTGGCAAATTTAGTGGTCATTTTTCCATGGGTTCTGAATGTCCAGTCAACACAACATTTTGTCAAGCAATCCAGGTAAGAACAGTTTCTTGCCCAAATGGCTAACTTTTGCCATAAGGAAAGGAAACTCCATATGGAGTTTCCTCAATGCCCATTATCTTCTTTGAAGTAAATTGGTGCTGCCAGGAGCAGACATGTCTCACTGTCCAGAAAGTCTAAGTTTTTAAAACATTTTAAATGCCATATAATGTAGGTCTTTGAAGTGTTTGAAGATTACCTACCTAATTGAAATATGTCTATGTATACCTAGAAAACTTAACTAACATGTCTATAAGTTTGATTATCATAGATGACTAATTATTAATCTGTAATTTTTAGTTATACATTACAACTTCAAATGAGCTGCACAAACATAATACCTTAAACAAGAGTAGAAATATACATACAGTATAACAAAATTAACTTTAAATTTATATCAATGAACTAAAATTCATAGCAATGTAAAACATTTTAAACAAGTTATTGCTCTTTAAAAGTAGATTCAATAATCTACTCTTTAATCTTATCATATCTATAATATCCCTTTTTCTTTGTTAGAAAGAGATTGTATTTATAATCAACTCCCTTTAAATAAAAATAAATATTTATAAACAATATTTTGGGAACTTGGGTGTAGCTTCTCATACTACTTCGTGCTTGTTGGGGGAGCTGGTAATCTTATGGGGATCCTG